TTCTTGAGTATATAATCAAGCACTTCACCAGTTACAAATTCCATTTTTGTCAACAGAATACGGCAGAGTGTTGTTCAATTCAATCGAGTCGTCCATCTCTCGAATTATTACATTACAAGTTCATATGACCGCCAATTGACGTTTAGTTTTAATGTCAAAATTTATTGTATTAAAACAAAATAAAATTTAAATTCTCAATAATACAGTTAATATTATGACATGTTTTTTTTCCATTAAAAAATGTTTTCTGTTTTGTTATTAAAACTATAATATAATAATTTTATTATTAATATATAAATTCTTATAACTAGTTAGTAGTTATTATAATTTATAATATATATAGATCCACTTCATTTCAAAGAAAATATAATAAATTACTAATTTAATCCATTCATTTGATTATAATTAATAACAGCTTATACAATACTAATAAACACAGATAATACTAGTAGGATGGAAGAAGTTAAAGCGCAAATTCAAAACCTAACAACTCTGATCATTAAGCTGTTAGATGACCCCAAAGAAAACCCAAAAGAATTAATTAAAAAAGTTGAAGAGCAAAAAGAATTACCCATTCAAGAGCAAATAAAAGAAGCTGAAAAAGAATTTGAAATACTCGATGAAGATTATCAAAAAAAAGATTACTTTTAAAAAAGGAGTGGCAGTCACTTTTGCAAGATGTTTTGTTATTATCAGCAATAACTAAACAACACATTAAAGAGATACCAACATACGAAATAAAATTGGACAATTCAATAAAGAAGTTAAATGCACTTTACATGGAAGACTACGTAATTAAAAAGAAGAAACTTGAAGAAGACTTTAAAACCGAACTTTCAAAAATAGAAAAAATTAAAACAAATAAAATTGATGAATTGAAAAATATTAAAAACGAACGAAGAGAAATGGAACAAAATTTCAATTTTGGTCTTGAAAACGGCGAACGTCAAAAACTTGAAGAAATTACAAAGAAGAAAATTTCCAATATTGTGTTTAACTCATTTGAAGATGACTGGAGCAAAGACACATCTGTATTTGATGACAAAATAAAAGGAAAAAGTGATCTTCTGTTTTTGATTGAAGACGATAAAAAGAACAAATTTGGAGGGGTTTACTATGGCACAATTGATAAAATTGGTTATTGGTTGAAAAGCGACACTTCATTCATATTTTCACTTGTGCGAAATGGAGACTTAAAACCTTAAAGTATTTGTGTTAAAAGAAGGACAAGGTGACAACGCTTTCATTTCTTGCACAAAAGACGATTCTTATCTTTTTGTATTTGGAAACAATAATACAAAAGACATTTACTTATAAGACATATCCCTTGGCAAACGTGGTATAATTAACAATAATAAATGTACTCCCACTAGTTACACTGCACAAAGTGGAGATCTCATTGATGGGCAAACATATACACCAAAAAGTATTCGTGTTTTCCAACTTACCAATTAAATTAATTTATTTTTTAATAAAAATGTTTAAAATAACAAAATCAAGACAAAAGAAATCAAACCAAGTTAAACCTCTACTTGTATGTAACAACAATTACACGTGTTTCAAAAACAATATTTAAATGAATTTAATAACTATTAATATACACATATAAAATTTTGTTGTGTTGCTATATATTTACTCAGACATTTTTTAAACAATTTAAAAAAGAAAAGCCAAAATTATTTGTTCTATCATAACAATGTAAAAACATTATATTTCTCACACCAAATATCATTTAATATCTCATCCAAAAAGCAACAGTCAAAGTACATCAATAACAAGTCTTCGTTTTATAACATAATTGCTTTTTCTCAATTAAAAAAGAAAGTATATAAACAAAGAAAAACATTAACAAATGAATCACACAAAAACATAAACATAGAGATTCATATATTAAACAAAAAAAATAGTTTTTAATTGGTAACTTGATTTGTACGTTGTTTAATTATCCAAATCTCAGCAAAATAAAACAGTGGTTACTGATTATGTTGCAGAGTCTTTTTTATTTGACATTAAATGGATTGAACCAGTCAGATACTTTTTTGTTTGATTTGAAACTTGAATACTTTGAAAAGAGAATCAAATTTTTTGTTGTTCTCTTTAAATGTGCAAATATGTTTTAACATAAGTAATACACTAATAAATATAAAATTATTATTAAATTGAATGCTGTAAATGAATTTTATTACATTTTATTATCATTACACAAATCAGTTTTATATAAATAATTGTTAAATAAATACTTTATTATAATGTTAATAAAAATATAAAAATGTTTCAATTTGATAATATCTAGCTGCTGTATTGAACACTTAAATTAATTTATTTGGTTTTATACCGCATTATAACTTTTTTGAATACATTCAACGATATTATTAATTGTTTCTCTTTCTTTTGGGTTTTGTTTCCAACACATTTGTATTAGTTGATATAATGTTTTTGGAATGTTTTCTCTTCTTTCAAGTCGTTTTCCAGCGGTCACAAACTCGGCTATTTTCCATGGAAATTTGAATGTGGTAAATGGATACGCTTCACACCACCCGAACACTTCATACATTGTAATGCCAAACGAAAAGACGTCTGCATATTTTGTGTACTTTTCTTTGTTTAACACCTCAGGCGCCATGTAAGTTGGTGTACCAATACCCTTTGTGAATGTCATGTTAGTCATCAACATATTAATGTTTCTCGACGATCCAAAGTCGGTCAATTTGGCATTCACCTTATCATTTAAATTTAATGAAAACACAAGTAAATTGTCTGGTTTGATGTCTCGATGTAATATTCCATTTTCATGTAGATACAAAATACCTCTTGATGCGTCCAACATCATTTTAAGTCGAAGTTTCATGTCAACTTCGTCATATGTTTTGTGTTTCATCAAATCTTGTAAACTTCCATATTGTGCGAACTCAGTGACCATACACACTTTATTTGGTATAAATACAGCTCCATAAAAATGGACGATATATTCACTTCGAAATTTGTCAAGCATTTCAACTTCTTTGGTAAAGTCAATTATTTCATCAACATCTTTTTTTAATTCCTTCATCTTCTTAATAGCCACACAATTTCCTCTAAAAGATCCTTTGTAGACAATACCAAAAGACCCCTCGCCCAGTTTCTTCTCTTCAATTAACTCATCTGGGTCAAGACGTGTTGACATCTCAGTAAAAATACTCAAAGTTAATTGGTTGTTGTTTGTAATTCCATCTTTTAATCCTTTTGAGAAAAGCACAATTTTATCATCAATTTTACATGAACATTTTGGTTCAACAAATATTTCAAATTCGACTGCCATTCCTTGTGATAAAGATACAACTTTGGGTTCTGTTTTGATTGTGTATTTTGCAGTATTAATTATAGTCGAAAATTGGATTTTCAAATGTTGCTTTGACGAGTTGCCAACACATATCAATTCACGACTTTCAACACCAACTTTGACTGGATCATCAGAACAACCAAATAAAATTTCTGTTTTATTGACAACAACATCTTCACAAAGTTGAACAAAAGAAATGTTCGAATGACTCATTTTGAAACTTGTTGTTGTTTTTGCAAGTTGTTTTTGATGTACTTTCTTTTCAATGCATTTAACTGTAAATACAATAAATAATATTAAAAATATCATCATTATAATTGTAAACAAAATTA